ACAGTGTGTCATATTTTCTTCTTGTAAACCTAGCAGTATTATGCTTTAAATTATCAAAAGAGTACAATTCTATTTAAGGTCAATATAATTAGCTTCATAATGATAACTCAGGTGAGAAAAGTTTTCACTGAGGAATGAATATATCAGTTTATGCCAGTGTGTTTAATGAACAAGACATTCATTAAACCCGGAGTACCATTTTGTGAAACTCTAACACAATTGATGATAACAGGTGAATGTATTGCCCCTTTTTCTGGCTACTATTCGTTGGACGTGATAACGATAATGGTATGCATTGGTGGTTCAGCGGTAGAATACTCTCCAGCTACACTCATAGTCCTGGGTCGATCCCTGTCCAACTCACTCCCAAACATCACCTTATTTACTAGCTAATAGAAGATCTGGAAAAGACAGAATCCCGGGTGTCAAGTAAGAAACCATACCCTCAGAAAAAGAATATCATCATCACTACTAATACTTCAAAGCTTGAAGCTCCAGGTGTTTCAGCCGGGAAGCAAAGGAATGATTAAGAAACAAGAGATTGTAAGTGTTACTGAAATTAAATAAATCAGATTACTGGTAGAAGAAAAGTGTGAAAGATTTACAGCTCTATTGGGTGCTTTTATTGCTGTTATTGTTGTTGTGTTCTCCGAGGTAGATCGTCTAACTGCCATGCTTTTGTTGTGCCAAAATTCACAATGAAAGCTTAGTAATTAAACTATCAATCTCAGAGTATTCAGAAAAAAAACAACGACACTAAATTCATACTCCCCTCCCCATCTTACTGATCTAAAAATCTTCATAAATTTATTTTTCGTACTATATAAAAACAAAATTTTGTCTTATTCCTTCGAACAGTGAAAGATAAACACAGAATACCAATATAATTCAGTATACTGTAGATTATTTGTATTTTTAACTTGATTTATTTTTTGAAAAATTAAATTTTAGTTTTAACATTTTCATAACACTTGAAGTAAATTAGTGGACAGTGGTTAGCAACGGAATTTACGATGAGCATTTTGTCCTATTTTGGACAAGTCATCCAGCTGTACCAGCATCTCCCAGCCATTGAGTGATAGTGTTCCACTGAGGCCTGAACCCATTACCAATAGTTTGTGACGCTGAAGCATCATCCACTAGACCCCTTGGGCCATGAAAGCCACCTTTTTTGTGCAACAAGTGTATCACTAGGAACATCATCACTCGCTGACTGGGGAATATAGGTACATCTGGATGCGCATCTTGAACCCGAATGCTAACCACCATCCACCAACAGACCCCAAGTTACATGACCAGACATCGTCGAAGCATCTCCACAAGGATCCCACATGTCATACTTTGGTTCAATCAATCAACGCGAAAGTGCAAATCGAATTTTAAAAATTTTCCTTATACATTTTAAGAAAGTTTAAAACTTATTTTTCAAATTACTTTTGCCAATAAAAAATAAAACAGATAATAGATAGTGGAGTTCAGATGATACAGTCTCTCTTTGTTCTACAGGTACAAAAGTAAAGAATTTACTTTAGTCACACTGATACAATTAGATGATATTGGGAGGCAATCGGCAGGAAGCCTTCCACCTAGATATCGTGCTAGTTAACACTCACCAGTCAGCAAGGCATATCTGCATCCTTGAAGGAACTCATGTCCCTTCTGAGATTCTGACCCGCGTCACTCAGTCACAGACGTTACCACTGAGCTTTTCGGGTTCGCAATTGACCTCCTGTAGGACTGACTATTTTGGATACTCTGACCGGGAACTAGTAACTAGTGTGATGTGTTTAATTCTTTCTTTAATGCTTGCTGAATTCTATCCAACAGGCTCTCCGCTGATGGCCTTCAACCATCTAATATCATCAAATCAATGTGCACCGTGATGGCCACATTGGAAACCTGACTGATAGAATTCAGTCTGCACCAAAGAAAGGACTAGACACATTATATCAGTTACTAGTGTCCAATCAAAGACTGATACAATCTTGTTTTCGACCACTCCATGATTGTGTGTGCATGCTGCATACTGTACACTAAATGAAATTATAGATAAAATAGCAGAGGAGATTTGTGACTTAGGTGGATGACTTTGATGTGGTTGTATTCTCTGAGATGGGTAGTTTAATTATGAATTATTCCATCACTTCATATTGAAGCTTGCGTTGGTGGTGTCACCTAGAAAGACAATGGAAGCTTCTCAATTAAATCAATGAGCTAGGAGAACTGGACGAAATCAAAAAATACATGAACTCATGTTTATACTTTAGCATTGATAAAACACTTAAGGTAGAAACAGTGACAGAAAAAATAAGTTCAGCTTTCTGTTTATCACACCTAGCTTAAATGCCGGTCTAGAGTACAGAAAAACTGGAAGTTTGGTCGTGAGGTTATTAATCCATCCTGAAAAAATAATCCCTCCCATCATTATGCAGACTTTAAACAACAGAAAGAATTTATCCTTCAGTGTGATAGGGGAGACTTCTCAATTTGACCCTAACGGATGGAACACTTCAGAAAGCCAGTCGACCAATATGTCTTTTTTCAACGAAAACAAAAGTAAGCATATGGACATGTAATATGCCCATCAGATTTCTGGGCTGATGAGGTTGCTCAAATTGAACAGAAAATAAGAAGAAATGGTATAGGAGTATTACAAATCTGTGAGAGCAGATGGGAAATCAGTGGGACCTCCATGTGATTAAGTGGAGAGTTATCAATATACTCCAGTTACCAAGACGACAACTACGAGCAAACTGAGGGTGTGACTATGGTGGGTTCGTAAACAGCATTGAAAACTCTCATACAGTAGGAACTAATCTCTCTCAAGATTTTTGTGTTAGGACAGTAACATTTCGGGATACTTCACCAGGTTTTCCGTAATCGTATTGACTACAATAATTACTAGAAATTGATATAAAAAACCAAAGAAGACTACATAATCAGAACTACTTACCCTATGATCATTACAGTGCTCTGATTGAGCCAATTAGACATCGTCGTTTAATATATTACAGTCACGTCTAGTTAACTGAGCGTCATCCAAACCGACTGAAAAGTGATTGAAAAGGATCTGGCGATCAACTAAGCCCACTCTGGTAGATCTTGATTTTTGTTTCATTCCTTTACGTTCCGGGTGGAATATAGGGCTTCAAGCTTCAACTGTGAAGTTTCAGTAGCATGGACGCTTTTTTACGGGATGGGGCTATTATCCTCAGATCTAACCTTCCTTCTTCATCTGCTTTGTTTCGGCCCTAATGAGGCTAAGGGGTGCATCGGCCGGTAATCGAACCCTAGAACACATGCATATTTGGCGAACATTCAACCGATGAAAAACCGACGCATAAAGCGTGTGTAGTGGGTGGGATATGAACACAAGTCCACACCGTAGACAAGAAACTGAGTCTGGTATATATTTAAGTCAGTCCTCTGACAGCAATAGGGCGTGAATATAAAGATACAGTGAATGGCTGGAAAACTACTATAATGGTGATAATTACATTGCATACAGTCCATTTTACAAACTGGATATGATAAAACTTAGATCTGCTTGCATTAGAAATGTAAAAGTTTTACTAAGAATTACTTCCACTACTTATTACTGGAAAAGTATTCTATCTAAGTTATTCTGTTAATTAATTTAAAAGCTTGAAAAATAAATCACTTGTGACCCTGGTAGTATATTATCATTATTACATGAGAACGATTAGTTGAAATATTCTATCCAGTTGAGGTAACAGAAGAAAGTAATTCTTAACATATCTCCTGGCAAAATGTCATTCTTTCTTAGATTAAGACACCGCTCATTTATTTGGTTGGTAGGAGCTAGCACTTGATTCCATTTACGGACTTTTCATCTGCATGTAACTGTATCCCAGTCTCGGAAGTTGTTTCCACGTCCTGGATTCCACTGCTAGCCATCTACATCCAAATAATATTATGCTAATCTTCAAATATCGTCGAAAAAACCATTCCATGAGCCTAAATGTCAAAAGAGACCGAGCATTTCAGTCCAAAAGAGGTCAGTCAAAGGAAGATACAAAATAACCTAAAGAGATATTCTTCGGAAATAAATGGTTATCAGTTAGACATCAGACAGAGTTATCCTAGAGTAAGTGAGATAACAGTAGTCATTAATATGTACCAATTACTAGAAGGTATCAAGGGTAACTGGTTTACATCTGAGGTAATGTCCATTGGATATATACATATTCATTCACTTTGAAGTATATCGCTCAGTTATGAATAGTGGCTAGAAGTCGAATTAAAGACAACGCTTTTCTCCTGTTTGTAAATGATCAACTGAAATTAAATGTCAAGAGATAAATGGAAGTTATTCTACATAACTCTAAATTACTGCTAATTAATTCTAAGACACTTGTGATTTCTTACTTGAATTTAAAAATAGACTCTCTGACAGGGTGGTATATTTTGTGAGGACTCGGGTGAATCAAGTGTAAGCCACACCCCAAATTGGTATCACCACCTACAGAAATTCAGGAAATGGTATGGTGGTGGGGTAGTGGGGAACTGAAGTGTAGGCTGGCCAAACCATCTACTCTGGAAAACTTCCTGAAAGAATGTCTTCAGTATAATGTATATCACTGAACCTTTTAGCAGTCTTTAAGAAAAGACCATTTGTGGCCTACACGACTAAACTGTTTTTCGTCTAACTCAATCAGAAAGTGTTAAGATCTTATTTCATTAAAAATTTATTCACAAACTGATGCATCAGTTAGAGAATTACTGAAAACCATCAGCTGTTTTTTCGTCTTAGTTCAGGACTCTTCATCGGTACACACTTGCGCCCCCATCATGTATGGGATCCAGGACCCCGCCAGTTAAAGCTACTTGATCATTCAGCCACTCGCACAGGAATTCAATGAGGCATGAATTTTAACTTCACAAAATTAAAAACAACTTATTTGAAAATCACATGTTATTATACTACTTATAAGTAAGTAGTTTAAAGATTAACTAAAAAAAGAAATCTAACAACTTACATAATTATTGTTGACGTTAACTAATCCAATATATGATGAATAATTTAATTGATAATTTAGTAATTTAATTTAATAAGTTTTTAATATCATCCATCTTTAGCTTGGGTGTTTTTAAATGATTCAAATAAACATTACAGTGTTTTACTAAGCACTTAGTGTTATTTTACAAACTGTTATAAGTTGACAAGTTTTTTTGTCGTCAAACCTCGATGTATTCACATTTATTTGGGAGAAGTACATACGACATGTACATGGGCGATTTTGATTGGTCCAAAGTATTTCAACCAATCAACTGGTAATATGGATAGTAAACAAATTAGAGGAAAGGTAATATATGGGATAACAAAAATAAGAAAAACAACCAGAAGACAACAACAGAAATAAAAAAAACATTTAACAGCCATAACAACACAGTGAACTGGGAAAATTGTGTATAACATTACTAGTTGATTACTACTAACATGATTCCCTTTAAAAAATCTCCTAAAACACCCAAGTTTTGTGTTTTTAAATTGTCACAGCAGCTGGAAAACTCATCCTGAGAGACAAAAGAAGGTGGCGGCTGTTTACTCTTCACTGAAATATTACAATTACCAAGTTAGGTTACACTATAAACTGACGTCAGTTAGGGAACCATTAACCCACCATGAATCAGACCCAAGACCTTCCCAAGTACGTTACCATATAGCTAAATGTCGAGATCTAATGGCCTGTGAATTATAAATTCTGCCAAATCTCAACGCGTCGTTGAATTATGGCCGCATACTGCTGGAAAGTTCAAAAGTGTGTAATTTTAAATATTTACAACAAGTATACTATTCTAGGATTTCTACGGTTCAGTAAACGTGAATCATTCAATCGAGATTTTGCTAAGAACTAAATTTTATTAAGAAACTAATGAAGACCACAGAATACTGGGAAGTTGTTTATTATCATCTTAGGTTAAAGGTAGATAAAATTAAACAAGTGACCATTCACACACGTCGGTGGTTCAGTGGTAGACCGCTCGCCAACTAAGCGCATGCTTTGGGTTCGATTGCTGGCTGACGCAACCTTAAATCTCTCTTAGCCAATAGTAAGTATGGCAAACAGGGAAGGTTGGATGGGAGGTTAGTAACCTTACCCTATAAGAACAACGACACCACAGTTAATGAAACTCCAGAGCTCAAGCTTAAAGCTCTATGTCTCGTTCGGAACACATAGGAATGAAAAAATCTGTTGAGGTAAACAAAAAATCAATTGAAGATAAGTACACAAGTCATCCCCTCCCCTTTACCTCCTTTTCATTTCAGTCTAATTGAATGGATAAAATAAATGCGGTCATTTACAATTTGAATTTCGTCAAACATTTGATCTTATAAGATTTTGTACTACACGCTCAGAGGAATACTGTATTCACATCATATGATACATTTGTATTTATCGACTGTTTTATACGCCTGGATTGTGTGTTGTGACATTTTCTATGCTATACGCGAAAAAAAACCCTGCGATTGTTTCCATACTCATCCATCAATTTGTATTTCTAAATTTTAAAAAGAATTCAGAATTATCATATATATATTTTTTTAAACAAGTGTGAAAACCATTCAACTGTTTCAATTCTGTTTTGCTTTTTTGTAAATAAAAGGGTATTTAAAATGTGAATAGACCGAGAAATTATACTCTTGAGGGGATTGAAGTATCCTTTTTTTGAAAGATGCGTGAAGTAAAAATTGAGCAAGTGTAGGAGTTGATTGCAATGTATATGTATATATATATATATATATATATATATATATATATATATATCCCATCCGACAAAGTAGTATACATTGAAAAATTTAAACAGCAGTACTTTGACACTATCTTTCTCTCACTCTCTCTCTCTCTCTCTGTGTTCTGTAACGCATGACGTATTTATTCATTAACTTAATTAAAATAAAACAAAACAATGTGCATTTTACAGCTCAAATAGAGTATAAAAACGCTGTTTTACAATAATAATTGATGTTTAGACTGGTCAAAACACAATACAGTAAGTATGCGTTAAAAGATACATTTGAATTGGTTAATTTTCTTGACGATATTAACATTATGAATAAGATTTAATTGGTGGATGGTGACTAGCAGTGGAATCCAGGATAAAGCGCATTTCGTCCTATTTGGGACTCATCACCCGGATGCACATGAATTCCTCAGTGAGTGATGATGTTCCCACCGAAGCTCGAACCCAGTGCTCATAGTTTCAAACGCCAAAGCGTTGTCCACTAGACCACTTGGGCCACGAGAGCCACCTCTTGTGCAACGGGTCACATTGATTTAATTGAATTTTGATTTTCCCGTCGATTGATTGGACTGAAGTGCTTGGTCTCAGGTTGACATGTCGGCTTCTTCAACAGATGCTTCGACGATGTGCTCTAGTGGATAATGCTTTGGCATCTGAAACTATGGGTAATGGCCTCGAGTCTCGGTGGGAACATCACCACTCACTGAGAAATACAGGTACATCCATCTGACGAGTCCCAAATAGGACAGAGGAAATGCGCATCCTGGATTCCACTGCTATTCACCATCCACCAATTAAATACTAACTAAATGCTCAGACATCCATCGAAGCATCTGCGAAAGAAGCCGGTATGTCAACCTGAGACCGAGTACTTTAGTCCAATCAATCGACCAGAAAACCTCAAATTCAATTAAATTATGACTAAGAATTGATAATTGATGTGTATATATATTTCAGAGCACTAATATTTTGGTATCACAGTTATCTCCGGATAAATACAGACAAGAAAGACTAACACACCAGTTGTTACAGGCACACACACACGCACATAAGGGGGTAAATACGACAGATAAACAGAACGATAGGTGGACAGTAAAGAAAACAAAGAAAGAAATAAACGGTTAAAGGTAATATTAATATCATTTTAAGACTTTGTTCGTAAGCTTATTTGGTTACGGTCTAGTTAACAAATCACTTAGTTTTTGAAGTGATCAAAATTAACCCTCTCTAAATGGATACATTGGGTTTCCCTGCATAAATGAGAAGTCTGAAGCGAGAGGAATAAACTTATACGATATATGCATATATATATATATATATATATATGCATGAAGGCTTATTTGAAAGTTTCGGTAGTAAATATAATATACCATAAAATTGTTAAATGTATACTTAACTGAAGAAGATATAAATTCATGTGCGATATGTGAGATAAAATGTAACAAAACGCTATTTAAATGATACTGGCTAGCTGTTGAGTCCAGGATGCGCCTATTCTTCTATTTGTAACAAATATTTATGATTACCTTCAATATTTAACAAATATACTTTTTAAGGTGAATTTATTTACTAACTGACATTGGTTAGATAATAGTTGAAAAATAAAGAGTACTTGACAGGTGTTTCATTCCAGTTCCGGCCTGATCAGAGGCAGTCATCCATGATCCCACTGGGAGTTGAACACGGCACCTGTAGTTTACGTGTTGAGCTCGTTATCCATTCAGCCATCGGGTTGGAATCCAGCGGTACTTCTGTCAATTGACTCAATTTTAGCGCCATCGTCATCCAGTGTCTCTGACGAGTATCGGTTTTCACATCCTACATGGTTATCTGACTGAAGTCGGTTAGGAATGAAATCAACCTTGTCTTATTTCTTGTTTTATTCTTCTGAGTTCCGAACAGAATCTACGGTTTCAAGCTTTAGTTTTGAAGTATTTAGCAGAGTTGGTGTTTTATCTTACGGGATGGGGTTAATTAATAACTTCAAGCCCAACCTTTCACACTTTACCGGGCTTACCAACAACTAAGTAAGATTGAGGGGTGCATTGACAGGGAATCGAACTCAGATGATATGACTCGCTGGTAAGGCAATTAATTATTGCAAAATAAATCAATGAAAAAAATCATAAGTGATAATGAAAAATTAATCCATAATATGAGACGAAATGCAGTCTAGAATTCTTGATATCGCTTTTTCGTGAGAAGACTTAACTGTCAAAGTTCACTGAGCCAGTTGTCAAGATAGCCGACATCGAATGACGATATCCCTATATCGTGAACTGACAGTGATTAAAATTCATTGACCATCAAATTCCAAACCCTTTTCGGCTGAATTCTAACATACTCACCATGTAACCAGATTCTCCTTCGTTCTATTTCTGGTAATATAATGCTGATAGATAGATGATATAGAATCCCATTTCATAAAATAAACTGAAGCTGGGAAATATGTAGTAGTCTGTCTCACTTGATCTAGTGACTTCTGGCTGTGAGTTATATTTCATGTGAAGTCTTAAATGAGTTGTGTGCATTTTTACAATTCTGTTAGAACACCGTATTAGTAATTCAGGAGCCTCTGGATGAAATCCTGTCAATGTAGCCCATGTTTTTATTCTACCTTCAGTCACCATCCATGACATCAGTAACAGTCTACGCACTATGGACTACATGAGATAGCCTCACCAACATTGATTGCCGTCAATTAGCCTATTGATATCAACAGGAAGAATTAACCAGTACTTAAGTTAGAATGGCAGATTGAAAGTAATTTGGATGGAATGTGATAAAACACTGATGGTAAGGTTGATGTCACCATGGTACTCTTCTTGAAGAATAACCTTGATCTAGCTGACATTCATTCGTACGAATCATCAGTAGGTAATGTGTTACACAATACTGCTTCACTTCTGTGTTTGATCAAATGAAATGAACATGAATAACCAAGATAAGTGTAAACCTGACTCACACAAGCTTTCACATTATTTGTGAAAAAGTTCAGTAAACTGAGACAACAAGAAAGAGTTAATATATACGACTAATAATCATATGAGTAGACCGAAATCGTCCATCCCAGCCAGTAGTGATCACCAGTAAGATCAAGGTGTTCCAAAAAAAACCCGAATGATTTAGTTCACCAGCTTTTTGTACAGAATGATAGATACCAGAGAAATCAGTCACCTGAAAACACTGAAAGTTTGAATAGTTACCTGTGGAAACTAGTAGCATGTACAATAAACTGTGCGATTAGTGGAAATCTAATTACTATTCATGTCTAATTAAAATCAAATTATGTTAATACGAGTTTGATCAGAATCTCAATATTTAAAATAAAACATTCTCATGAATAACACACTATAATACTTTTTATTTTTCTAAACAAATCGGATTAACAAGTATGTTTAAGAATAAAAATCATACCTGATCAGTACTGC